GACGTGCAAGGGTGCAAAGGTGAGACCTATGAAATTTCAGGTGTTACCTGCCGGATCTGGTTTTAGTATAGTACTACTTTGTCATCGCTTTGTGAATATTATTGTGAGAATAAATCTATTTGTGAATATTATTGCGAGAATAAATCTATTTGCTCTAAAATCCATTATATAAAAGGTATTTATTTACATGGTTGAAAAAATCTTTGCAATACTAAGTGAAATTAAAAGGCCGTTTGCGAGCGCCCCGAACAAGGCTTAGCACAGTTTTTTTCGACCATTTTTTTATGACGTCATCTGAAAGAGCATGGTCAGATTATTGGCGTGGATGGTTTGAAAGTTTTAAAAGTTTTGTTTGAGGTTAAAATGGAGCCTCAAAGAGTTGCCGACACTTCAAAATATATCGAAAACTACTGAACAGAATTTGCCGAAACTTTGTGACAATCCCTAATTTGGGTCGGGGAACATTTTTCTAATACATTTACTTGAAACCAGAAAGTATGGCCGGAACATAGGTATCTTGCGTACTAAAAACAGTTTTTTCGAGATTAGTGGGTTTACGGGTGATCGCTGCATCAAGCGATTAGTACCAAAAGATGCACCGAAATTTTCTCTATCGATTGATGTATCTTTTTAGAATGCAGCGGCTTTTATCCCCAAAAACCGGAAAAATCGTCCTGAATGGGTCGCCAAAGCGTCAATTTCGGCCATTTTGGTGAAGAATTTCCTTGCAGAGGATAGGCTAGAGTAAGGCGAGATAGTGGGGAGAGGGTAGGAGGAGTGGCCTCTAGGGCCGATTAGGCTGCAGGCCTGTTCGTATCGCTGTGGTGCATTAGCCAGTGATGGCGTGGGATCCTTGCGCCGGGGCGCCTCTAGATCGATCCAGCCTACCTTTAGAAAGCGAATTTCTTTTTGCTCTTTTTTTGCAATTATCCTAACTCGGGCTATAGAATCCCCGCCATGTCACTCCACAAAATATTTGCCAAATTTGGTCTTCCGGCGACCCATTCAGGACAAGTTTTCGGTTTTTACGGGTGCTCGCTGCATTCTAAAGGCCCATTCCTCAATCGATTCAGAAAATTTCGGTGCATCTTTTCGTACTAATCGCTTGATGCAGCGATCACCCGTAAAACCACTAATTCCGAAAAAACTGTTTTTAGTACCAAGATGCCTATCTATTCCGACACACTTTCTGGTTTCCCAATGTATTAGAATGTTCCCCGGCCCCAATTAGGGATTGTCCAAAGTTTCGGCAAATTCTGTTCAGTAGTTTTCGATATATTTTTTGGGTGTCGGCAACTTTGAGGCCCATTTTAACCTCAAAATTAAACTTTTAAAACTTTCAAAACTGTCCCCTCTACTAATTCGATATGCTCTTTAAGATGACGTCATAAAAATGGGTCGAAAAAAACTGTGCCAAGCTAGTATGAGGGCCTGTTCGAGTGACTGGCGGACGGCCTTTTAAAGCTCGGTTCTGATAAAACACTGGCATGACATAGGCTCGAAAACAGTTGTAAATCGCGTATTACGACCGTACAAAAACGAGGACCAGACTAAAAAAGTATACTAAAAATTATAATCTCAGAGCCGTATTCAAAAAATAGAGATTCAAGAGGTTTTTGTCTGTATTAGTGAGAATCGTGGGATTGTCCGTAATTATGTGAATTGCTCATCTACCGGAAGCCGTCCGCTTCGCCAGCTTCAGAACCTAGAATTCGTAACGTAAATTGAGGAAAAACTCAATATTACCACCTCTCCTGACTGATGATTAATGAATGGTAGAGATATGGCCGGGGCAAGCCCAGGCCAAACATTCGTCGTATTTCAGCTGGTCCTGAAATTCGACGCATGCCGATACGTTTGTAAAAGAGTTTGTACTTTGCAAGAAGCTACCCGTTCTTACCGTCACTATGCATTTAACGAGGCCAGAAAAGCCAAAAGTCTACTAGATGTTGCAGCCAGCTACGCGCCACTCCGTTCGATGTACATGCCTAAGGTCTGGAGCGCCGTTTGTTGAATGCTCGGTTTCTGTTGATTGAATTTTGGAGCGTTATGGGGCTTAGTCCTTTCAAGCGCCGATAGCTCATCGTGATAGGTCGCACCCTGACCGACATGGTAGCATCCAAACCGCGGTCGGCCAGCATCATCCGATAGCAGACCCAGTCGACATGGTAGATACCACAACTAATGCAGTCAATCTGGCAGCAATGTTTATGTTGATTATTGCCTACTTAGATCCGTTATATTAAGCATTAATATTTAACCTGTCACTAGCTAATACAAAAGAAACATATCGGATCGATAAAGGCGTCTTACCACTGGCTCAGCTCAACATGGGAAGTACCCGGAACTGTGGTCTCCTCATTGCAAACGGCGCATTGACTATAATCTGCTGGGGACACGGGCACGGTTTCGGGGTTTTCAGGATATCGAGGATAATGCTGATCAAACCGAAGCTCTTCGGCGACTTCCAAAGTGGTGCATGCGGTGCTGCGCTGGCTTAAAGGTACACTAAAATCTCGTTGGTTTGGTTACCGGCCGGTAACCGTCCGCGGGGTAGCAAACCAGGTTACGCACAGGCGAGGAATTCCACCATTTTCGTTAAGATTCCGAGGGAAAATCTGCCGTCATAACTCAGAACATTTTTTTCGGCTTTGAGAATCGTTAAATTAAGCCAAAATCCTGATTTTTATGGGTAAAAGCCAAGATTCTATCTTGCTGCTTACATTGCTGCTTAATCCTTGCCGGCCTAAGCGGCAACAGGATCCTTTCGGAACGGACGGCTAGGCTTCGCGCGTCGTGGCCAGCTAAAATCGTTTTCATGCGTGCAATCAGAAACGTACCAAAACGCTGCCGTCGCAGTCCACAAGCCACGATAAATGTCGAGGATTGAGATGTCACAGTTGTAACGGAGCCAGGTGAGTACGACGAGGCAGAATATCACGAAAACGGACAGCCGAGGTCGCTCCAGATAGGAATCCGAGGTTCCCAAAAGGGTTATGCGTCGTAGGCGAACAGCCACTCGTTCGACTCGACGAATCCAAAGTCGTGCATCGTTTTGGAGACATCCCGAGCCCAACTGAAAATTTATGCACTCACTTTTCCGACGTAACGCAGCAAAATCCTCCCGGGCCTCTGCTCTCCTACCGCTTTGACGACAATTCCGGGTCGTACTCGTTGTAGTCGTCGTGCAAGCCCAATACATCGCCAGTAAACATACAAATAGCTTTAGAGCCGTAGAAGTTCATGATCGTTTTGCTGGAGGAGACCAGGCGGAAGTAGGGATGAGCACTGTCAAGTTCTCGGAAGCAGCCTTGGTCTAAAAATTGTATTAAGGTTACGTTATTCTAATGTTAACAAGATACCTTCAAGATTAAGGTATCATAAAGCTTACCTGGTAAATTGTAAAACATAAACGTCCATATCAGTGAAATCAACACCTCATGGCCGGAGATCAGAAAGTGCTTACCGTCGTACCGTACTTTTACACTACCAACTGCTAAACAAACAGTGAAAATTGTATAGCTAAGAGGCTACCTCCAAAAGCTGGCAATTGCCACAGGCTGACGACCGGTTCATAGATGTATTGCATGTTTACAAGTTCACGATAGTCGTTTTGGAAGGCTGAAAAGGGAAATATACCTTAACTCTACAGAGATTTTATATAAAAAAGATCCATTTTGCTAATACTACCTGAATCTTACCAGTTAAGCGGTTAAATCCAGTTCTTTCATCATTTTTGTACATTGGTAGTCGCATCGTTTTTAGGCCTATTACGTAGTCAATAAATTGCTGAGAGGCTGGCTTTGTTGCGAGGTTGGCAGACTTTGGGTCCCTGAACAAAAACCGATTTTCGAAGCCTAAATCGGATTAGTTTTGGCGGAGTTTTGCATGATTTTTCAATCTTCTCAAAATCTTATCATTTACAAATCCCATCCATCTTCGAGTCGATTTTCGCCAGACTTTTTAGCTTCGGCTCCACGTGCTTGACAATTTGGATCCCATTTGGTAATGAGTGTGAATCGATAAAATGGCAAATCATCTCCCAGCAATCGCAATCGCACCTAAAATTCATTCTGTATGATCGCAAAAGGTATCGCTTTCTTACGTATCGTCGAGCGGCCCGATTTTGAGCCTTACCGGATCCAATTTGACCATGTAGAACAGCGCTGCCAGAGCGTAGAACAGCCTGAAGGATGGAAGCTCTCTCTCTCTTTTTTTTCTATCTCTCTCTCTCTATCGCGCTATCTTTCTCTCTCTCGCTGTCTCTCTCGTTGTCTCTCTCTCTCGCTGTCTCTCGCCC